CCCCCCCTCTCTCTCTCGTGCTTGCCATTGTGTCGGCGTGGTTGTGACGCAGCACGTTGCCTCAAAGAGATTCGTGGCATAGGAACAACTGTGTGAACTGTGTGCCCCTTCGCGCTCGTGGTAGTGGCAGCTAGCTGTATTGGCATCGATGCGATGATGTAGACGGTTTCCTTAGCTTCTATTTTTTTATTACCAGACACGAAACGCCTGTTGTGCCGTGCTCCATACGGAACCACTTGTGTTTGGGGTAGCCGCGAGTACCGGCTGCCTTGCTTTATGGCTCGGGGAGGTCCACCATACAGTACCGACCAACCTTGCTGCATCCGCGGCCGCTGCCTGGCGTGTTACACTTGTTTTTGTTTATTTTGTCGGGAGAAAGGGGGACACCGTTTCCTTTTGCGTGGATCACGGGCGAAGCTGAGCCGGTAGTGCCACGCGACGACCGGTAGTCGGGTGGTTCCCTCAATCCTGTTGGCGCGTGGGCCTTCTTCATTGGTATGCTCGTTCTCATGTTGGTTTCATGCATCTGTCCTCCCATGTGCTTGCACGCCTCTGCCTTCCTTGTGCCTCCACATCTTCTCACAACAGGGGCTACTGCTGAAGATGGTAGACGGAGTGATGGCCACCTACAGAACCAACTTCTTCATGCCCAACCGCTGGGCCCTCAGTCTCCGCGTGGACCCCCGCCTGCTCATGACCAAAGACGAGCTAAAGGTGAAGTGGCCCACCAGGGTAGACCCGAGCTATTTGGGGTGCGTAAACCAATCAACCTCTTGTCGGGGGCGGGGGAATCAGGTCAAACCAGAAAAGCGGTCCCGTGTTGCTGTTGGAAGCATGCTTGCTTTCGGATGCTCCGGCGACGCCCGTTCGCGGGACGATTGGGAGACAGACGCATTAACACCGAAAATCGCCGCTCTCGCCGAGACAGAGTAACACCCTTTCCAAGTACTGCTTGATGACTACTGTCGTTTCGCCGAGAAAACGATGACCATTGGTTACGATTTGTGCCGGTTCGAAACGAAATATCTATAGTAGAGTTGTGTACTCCCGAACCGTAACATATCCCGCCGTGCCTCTTTCTGACCGAACAACAGGAGGGTAGTGGCTCCGAGGTCCCGTTCGGGGTGTTCTTCGTCCACGGCCGGCGCTTCAACGGGTTCCACTGCCGCTTCCGAGATATCGCTCGCGGGGGGATGAGGATCGTCACCCCTCAGACGTCGGAGCAGGTATGTACGTGTGGTGTCACGTTTGTTGTGACGCTTTCTTTTTGTTCGTTGTGGGTACGGCGAGGGCGTGTTTTGCCTACCACGTATCGACTGATTGCACGTGGGGAGGGGTCAAGTCAAAGAGCGACACTTGGAGGGCACACTCTTTAGTGTTTGACAGCTGCGTGTCTCTTGGAAGCCCATGCAGTGACAGGTTCGATGCACGATACCATAGATGCTATTCTAGTCACACGTGTTTCCTATGGCACATGGTGTCGGCATCGCTTTTAAACTCTGATTGGTCTTGACGACAGCGGCATGCTTGTGCACCTCACCTCTTTGCATCAGTATCTTGGCTTGAAATCTGTGGTCTACCCCCGTTGGCACCTCTTCTCTCTCTCTTCGAACAACCGAAAACCTCTCAAATTTCGTAAATAGAAGTTACCAACAGTATACAGATATCCTTGCGTAGCACGCGCGCGTCGCCGACTCCTGCGGCAAGCCTGCCCGCCCGCCGCGGCCCCAAGGCCGCGGCCCCTGCGGGGGCAGTCTTTGCCACCTGCTCCGGCTCCTGCCTCATACGCCCAGCAGCCGTTGGAGTCAACTCTTCCGCGCCCGCAGGGTGGAAGGTCTCCCGTGCTATGATCTAGTGAGCGTTTCGGGACGTGTGGTGAAGGCACGGTTACGTTTCACAGTGACGGTAACCGTTCACTGACGACGCGTCCCCAATGCTCACTCGACACAGTAAGGCAGATCTTCTATTTTTTCGGAGGATAGGACCACCGTCGCGTCGGAAAGAGGCGGCGGAAGAGTTGACGACTGCAGCGACTGCTGGGTTGAGGGCGAAGCTCTCGCTCCCGCAGCGGTCGTGGACCACCGCAGGCGGGCGGGCTGGCCGCGGGGAATCGGTGACGCGCGTGCTATAGGCATGGGGTATTATTGCTGTCCTCTACAGCGTTTTGATAGGCTTTCGTTGTTCGAAGAAAGAGAAGCGCCAACGGAGATAGTATACCGATATCAAGTAATTGGGGGGGGCTCTGCAGCTGGTAGCGTTCCCGTGCCAGAGGGGGTCCCGTCACATTGGCTCCCAGTTACTATATGCATACCCTTTTCTTCTTTGCTGCTAAGGTCGCGATCGAGGCCGGTAGGCAGTTCGACGAGTGCTACGGTCTAGCGTACGCGCAGCAGCTCAAGAACAAGGACATCCCGGAGGGGGGAAGCAAGGCCGTCGTGCTCGTCGACACTACAAACTCCACGGTATGTACGTCACAGCAGCAAACACGTGTTCACCTTTTTAGTTGGCCGTATTGGCACCGGCAGTAGCTGCTGCCGCTCGCGATTTTTGCTTGCGCGCTGGGCAGCGATGACCTGAGGCCACACGGAAGCCTTTCTTCCGCGTTTCGCGCGTGTGTAGGTGTCAGGAGCTGATGCGTTCGTGTGTGTGCACCCTGTGCTTCAGACTTTGCTTGATTCGCGAACCGCTGCCCAAAGTGTTCGAATAGCCTCCTCTCAGCCCACTGTGGTGGAATACATGTCGGCACGCACGTTTGCCGTTGGATACAGCATCGCCTCCGTTTTGTACACAAGACCCTCACTGCTGTACGTACGTGACGCGAGTGCTGCTTGTGGTGTGTGCTTCGCGCCGTGTTGCAGGGTCGCGCCAAGGACCACGCCGTCCGCAAGGGCGTGAAGGCCTTCAGCGACGCTCTCCTCGACCTCCTCGTGGACACAGAGGAGACTCGCCGGTACGTGAAGGACCTGTGGGGCAAGCAGGAGCTGCTCTACCTCGGCCCCGACGAGCAGGTATGACGTCGTAGGAACGGGAGGGGGGAGGGGGGGGCGGGGTACGGCTTGGTTTGGTGGGTCCAGGTGAAGACACGTGCGTAACGAGGGCATAGCGAGTGTGCAGAGAGAGGACGGACTTGCTTGTAGGGGCTTTTGAAGGTGCATTGGATTGATGTCGGGTTATACCTGAAGAAGCGGGGCTCACGGATGCAGGCATGTTTGTTTTGGGTGAGGTGTTTGGTTAGCACGCGGGAGGAATTCGAATCAGATATCGTCTAAATATCCCTCGCAATAGGCAAGGCTGGAAGCGGGACAATATTCGGAAATGCCGTCAAGTGCTGTACGGAAGATTTACACATCCAGTTGTGAGTGAAGCCTGCTAGCCACCCTGTTTCGACACGGATGTCTCTGATAACGCTCGCTGTTGTCCAACTCCCCGCTATGGTAGTCAGTTAGCGCCCAGGGATAGCTCGGTCCTGGCGTGTACGCACGCACGCATTCTTCGCCGGATGAGAGATGAAGGCGAAACAGCAGCGGCGTTCAAAGCAAAGCTGTCCCCTTGAGCCTCGCTGTTGCCTGCCGCCGCTGCTGGTGCTGCAGCAGCTGCTGACCCTGTTGGATTATTATCTCCTTGCGGGTGACGGCAGGTGATCCCGCAAGACATCAATTGGATCATCGCCCGCGCCGCGCAGCGTAAGGCCCCCTTCCCCTCCGCCTTCATGTCTTCCAAGCCCGACGCGGGCATCAACCACAAGGTGTATGCATGTAGGAGTGGGGACAAACAATGGCAACACGCGCTCGACAACGCCTGTTGCACACAGCGGTGTGGATACCCGGTTTGGAAAGGCTGATGACGCCTCTACCCACATATCACAGATCGGGATGGGGGGTGCAGTACGGAATGCGGGTCCCCTCACCCATGAAGCTCTTGGTTTGCCTGAGGCTGGTTTCTTTGTTCCTCTGTGGGGTAGGTAAGGCAACACCGAACACTAAGTTTTAGAGTGCTGTAGCATCCTTGCCGGGGCCTGTTCATATGATCACGTTCTTTGAGTTTCGAACTTTTTTTCGCCCGGAGTTCTTAACTCCTAGGTTACTTAGGGTGGCGCGTCCGGTACGATATTTTCGCATGATGTGACGCGATGTACACAGTAGTGGCCTTGCTTGACATGAGCCTGACACCGGATGATGTATCACATGGCCTGCTGCACCGCTGTGGCACAGCAGTACTCACTCCACGAAAACGGCTGTTGATCTCCGACACGGCCTGGTCTGATGTGTTTGATCGAATGCTGTCACGTGTCGTCGCGTGGGCAGGAGTACGGAGTTACATCGGAGGGCGTTTTCGTGTTCCTCGACGAGGCCCTGCGTAACCGCGGCATCGACCCTAAGGCCGGCCAGAAGTTCACCCTCAAGCTCACGGGGGTAAGACGAGCGAGGAGCAAAGAAGATAAACAGAGGGCTACCGCAGTGCACGTGCATCTTGTACTTGCAAGAGTTACCGTGTTTCGTGAGGACGTAAAAGAGAGAAGTAGCCAGAAATACAACAATTTGTCGACGTCGATCGCGAACAGCGGCAGCCAAGACAAGGGCAGGAAACGGTGTCACTGCGCTGGTGGTGCTCAGGTTACGCCAGCCTTCTGGTTGGATCCACCATCGAACCACCTTCTTTTGATGTATGTCCTCGCGAAGCGCCTTTTTTTACGACCTCCACCCCCCGGACCTCCCTCCATGCGACCGCCACCCTAACCATTGTTGGCTACGGTACACCGTCTTTCACGATGTGTCACGTGCGAAGAAGCGTTCCTCGCGAAGCGCCTTCTGGTGCGACCTCCACCCTCCAAACCTCCCTTCACCCTCCGAACCTCCCTCCCTCTCTCGGCTGCAGGGACCCGACGGGGACGTCGGAGGGAACATGATCAAGATCCTTAACCGCGAGTACGGCGACGCCTGCCTCATCGTCGGGGTTGCCGACGGCACGGGCAGCGCCGAGGACCCCGATGGGCTCAGCCACGCCGAGCTGCTGCGCTTGTTCGAGGCGGGCCTGCCCATCTCCGCCTACCGCTTCAACAAGGTACTGAAAAATAAATATCTTGTGAGAGATGTTCCGATGGTGGTGTTATGTTTTCTGCGCTGTTGGGTGGGTTGCTGTTGTTCTGCCCATCTCCGAGCACCGCTTCGACAAGGCAGAATACTTTCAAAGAAGTACTCTTAGTTTATTTTGTGAGACCTTCGTCAATGCCGGTGTTTTTGTGCTCGGTTGGGCTGGTTGGTGTTGTTTTGCTGTTGACTGGTCGATTTTTGGCGTTACCGTTGCTGTTGTTGTTGCTGTACCCGTGTCTGATGTGGGTATCACTGTCGTTACGGTTTGTCGTTTATTGTTTATTGTTTTTTTGCTGCAGTCGATGTCGGTGTTCTTTCGTCCACAGTGGTTGCTGTATCCACAACCCCCCCCCC